AGCCTTGAAACCTTCCATGGCTTCCCAGCACCTCCAGATACATCCATCCTCTTTAGCCTGACACTTGGGATACTTCAAAGCCAGGTCCAGGCTGAGCCGCAACCTGCTTCACCCCTCAGACCCCTGTGTACCAGCCACTTCACGCTTCTCAGTGTTCCTGTTTACACCACTCCTCGACATCTGTGGTCCTGCAACCTGACATGTTCCGTGTAGTGAACTCCTGCTGGTCCTTCAGCACCTAACTCTAAAGCCACCTCCTGCAGGAAGCCTTCCCTGATGCTCTCAGAGTAAGCTATTGCCTCCTATGGACTTCTAAGGTGAGCTCTTCGTAAAACAGCTCTGATGTGTAGCCACGCTGTGTTATCAACCACTGTATTATCATCACTTATCGTTTAATTGGTCTGTCCCCCTAGACTGGGAGCTCCTCAAGGCAGGGACAGAGCCTTATTGGTCTGTTTATTCCCAGCTGTTAGCAAATCCCGAATGAGCAGATGAACAGCTAAATGGATGCATAGACCCTGGCCCCTGGGGATTCAGAATGTCTCTCCTTCATGCTGCTGGGGCCTCAAGTGATGGCTGAGTTGGAAGGGGGCACAGGAAAACTGGGCAGGCATCTAAGAAGTGTGCATCCCATTGATCTATGTGGGTGTCTGGGGCCCAGAGATAGCCCAGAAGCTGTCACTGGGGGCAGGACCAAGGGCAGCTGCACATCCCCTCCACGTGGCACATCCTAGCGCAGGCTCGTGCTTCATAAGGCAGTGAGGGGGACTACCTCATCAGTGGTCCCCTCCCCCGTCTCATCCCCAGCCCCGCCCCACAGCACAGGACAGCAGCCACGCCTCCAGGGGAAAACCCCAGAAATGGGAAAACCTCAGACCTGCTCGAGGCGACTAAACAGCAGGGCCAGGTCCTAACAATGCAACGAGAATCGCGGCTGGTTCCCGAAGCCCGTTCCCGCGCGTGAGCCAGTCTCCTTTCCACAAGGGTAGGGAGAGTCCTGTTGTTCAAACAGCAGGGCCAGGTCCTAACAATGCAACGAGAATCGCGGCTGGTTCCTGAAGCCCGTTCCCGCGCGTGAGCCAGTCTCCTTTCCACAAGGGTAGGGAGAGTCCTGTTGTTATTATCATGTCCCCATTTACCAGGTGGGCACATAGTGGCCCAGGGACGTGAACCGTGCCTGAGGTCACACAGCGGGCATGAGGCAGAGCTGGGACCAACCCTGCTTTTCTTCTTGGGCAGCTGCTCCCAGAGAAGCCCAAATGCTGACAGCGCTGGGGCAAATTCCAGGGGCCCAACGGTGGCCGCCACCCACCTCAGCAGCGCCCAGGGAACACCAGGCCCTCCGCGCGCTCGCGTGAGGACAGTGCGGTGGCAGCCCCCTTTAAGGAGTGCTCGGCCTTCCAGAAGAGCTTCAGTCTTAATTTTAGCTTGGAGGCCTGCCACGGGAGGCTTTATCAAGAGGCAGGCCGAAGTTATGTAGGACAGCTGTCAGCCGGCATGCTGGGTGGGGCCTGTTTAGCCGGCGGGGACACAAGTCTGGGGACACTGAACTGGTCTCTCTGCCCCAAGTATTTTCAGCCCCGCCAGCCACACAGCTCGGATCTCCTTCTGCAGGTCCTCCCAGCTCCGTGATGATGGCCGAAGAGAACACAGATCTAGAGGCCCAGATCGTCAAGGACATTCACTGCAAGGAGATTGACCTGGTGAACCGGGACCCTAAGAACATTAACGAGGACATTGTCAAGGTAGGCTCTGTGGGCCTGCCTCGGTGGCCGGGTGCTCGGCAGGGGAGGGCTTCTGCTCCAGGCACCATCAGCTTCCCTGAAATGGGACTTGCTACTCTGTCTCCTCCAAACCCTTCAAAAAAAAAAAATCATTGTAAACCCTCAAAGTACCTTTAGTGTAAACAAGAGCAAAAATGTAGCTGCATATACATGACTCACATGTTGATCAGGACACAGGAAACGAGTCACAGAGAAAGTGCCTTCTTACTACTCTGAGACGCTTGCCATTCAGTCCTGGCCCTCGTCCCGGGAGGAACAGGAATAGGCAGCCAACCTGGGCTCTTTTCTGGGCCAGGGGGCATTTCTATGGTCTCCACGGTGGGCTTGGGGTTAAGCCCCAGAGGGCGGCTTCCAGCAGGGTGGTGGCCCCTGGAAGGGGCACTCTCTCCCCCAGAGCACTGCTTTCCCCTAGGGGGTGGGGGCCATGCCAGCCTCACCCCAGCTCCCCACCTCACCCCAGGCCCAGCAGCCAGGACAGGGCAGAGGCCTCTCAGAGGGCACCAGGTCCCTGAAAGGGAATGCTCAGAGTTGTCCAGCCTTTGGGGAGTCTCCCCCACGGTCCTTGACTGAAGTCAGGCCTCTTTACTCAGCCCATGACTCCAGCAGCCTGGCTGCCTCCAGGCCCACACCCTCAATCCAACCTCCACTCAGTGGCCAGAGGGATCTTTCTAAAGTGGAATTCCTCAGAGCAGGGTCCCCAACCACCAGCAGCAGTCACGGAGGGGCTGTTAATGGGGTAGGTGCTGGGGGCCTCCCAGATCCTACTGAATACATCAGATTCTCAGATCAGTGCTGTTCAATAGAAATAGAATGCAGCCCAGGATGCAATCATCCTATGGAATTTTACATTTCCCAGCAACTACATCTAAAAAGGGAAAAACAAAGGAAATTAATTTTCATGATACTTTTATTTGACCTTATATATCCTAAATAGTATCATTTCCACATATAATCGATATAAAACAATTACCAACAAAAAATTGTACAGTCTTTCTTCATCTTCAAAATTCAGTCTGTAACTTATGGTACATCTTAGTTCAGACTCCAAATTTTTATCAGAAATATTTGTTCTGTATTCAATTTCATAAAATTTGTAGTTGAAAACCGATTCATGTGCCCAAATTGTTCCAAACATTCTTAGAAGGTTTCCAATAATGGAATCAAGTATTGGTTTTTACATTTTAATTAAAATGAAACACAATTTAGAATTCTTGAGTTGCACCAGCCACAGTTCTAGTGCTCAAAGCTTGTGGCCACTGGATTAAACAATACGGCTAGGGCTTGTTCTAAAGCCCCACCCCTGCGTTACCATCCTTCACTGGGGCACCTCCCATGCTGGGTACAGTCTAACCTCTCCACTTGGTTTTCCAAACCCAGCATAGTCTGGCCCAACCTGCTACTTCTGCCTGGTTTGGGTCCACCTGCCAGCCCCCACACTGTGCCTTTGCCAGGAGTGCCTGCCTCCCCTCCTCCATGGGTGGATGCCCTGCTCAGCCTTCAAGGGCCAACTCAAATGTCGCCTCCTCCAGGAAGCCTTCCCCGACTCCTCCAGGCAATCAGTTGCACCCTCCTCTGTGCCCCCACCTCACTTGGGGCGTCTCTCCACAACAGCTCCTGTTAAGCTATATGTTACATTTACACAAACCATCAGTGGTGGGATAGGATATATATCACAGCACAGGGTGAAATGCTGCAATGGGGAAAATTAGGGAGCAAACTTTACAAAGTATAAAGCACTATATAAATGTAAACTATTATTTGTCATGGTTTCTGCAATGTGGTCTATCAGGAATAGTCCTGAACTTGACTTTAACAGCTGCTGTACCTAAAAACAATGACACTGGACAAGTCACCGAGGTTTTCTGAGCCTCAGTTTCCTCTGGAAATATCTTTTACCTCCATCATGTAAATGGATCTCAGACTGTGCAATAGAAATATACTGTGAGGATTAAATGACACGAGGGAGTTGAAAGTGTCTGACATAGCCCCCGGCACACAGCAAGGGCAGGACAAATATGAGCTGAATAGGAGCTTCAAGGAGTTTGCAGTCTAGACGACAAGAGAACTAAGCCATGTACCAGCGTTTATAGCCAGGTTACCCTCTGGGGGTGGAGGAAAGGACCCCCTGGGAGACGTGCTCTCTAAAGGAGACCCACAATAGGCAGCAAGTGCAGAGGGACTCTTGGGTCCTATCGAGCCAGAAAGGAGCTGACTCCAGGCTCCGGGCCCAGATTATAATCCAGAGGGAGAGGCGGGGGCGGACACACAGATGTGGCGGCTTTAGGCAGCCTCCCCCGGGGCTGAGAGCTGTCCTCACCTGGAGGCCCTGAGCCCCAGAAGGGAGCTGACTCCAGGCTCCGGGCCCAGATTATAATCCAGAGGGAGAGGCGGGGGCGGACACACAGATGTGGCAGCTTTAGGCAGCCTCCCCCGGGGCTGAGAGCTGTCCTCACCTGGAGGCCCTGAGCCCCAGAAAAACAGCACAAAACTAAAGAGCCCCATGAATAATTTTGCCCAGAGGAGATTGTTATTTGGTATTTTTTGGACATTCTCTAGTTTGGGGAGCTATTTGATTTTTTCTTTCTTTTGTTTTTAATGAGTATGAAATGAAAAGTTTATAAATACAGAACAGGGATCATAAAACAGAGTCAGATAAATACCATGAGTAGGTTCAAGTAGACTTCAGGTTTATATTACGATCTGTTAAAGAATAGCGAAAAAGAGGAAGGGAGAGAAGACTGGGGCTGGGAGGGGTGGGGGAGCTGTCTGAACAGGACCGCCTGGGTGTCTGTCATCGACTGGGGAAAGACAGGATAGAGAGACAGGGAGGGAAGAGGGAATGAGGGATTGAAAGAGACAGAGAGAAAGAAAAACAAGACTGAGGCCCACAGGAAGGTTCAGAAGGCCCTGGCAGGGCCCCGGGCGGCACCTGTCTGGATAGCAGGTTTCTTATGGGCTAGAATGAGTGACACAGAAACAATGCTGCAGACCCCAGTTCTGATCCCAGCCCCAACATTAATTTGCTATGTGATTCTAGGAAAATCCCTTTTCCTCTCTGGGCCTGAGTCCCTGGTGCAGATAGATGCTGGGTGGAGCAGCCACCAGCTGCTGAGGTTTCACACAGAAAAGTCAAGGACGTTGCGTAGGAGATAGACCCACCAAGTCCATGGACTTGACTTCCAGCAAAAGGAGGCAGTCCCTTTTGGCACTGCCCTTGAACCCAGGCTGGAAAATGAGTGCCTAAGACAGACAGAGAGTCCTGTATACCCCAACAGACTTAAACTATGGTCTCCAAAGTTTGGGGCTGGGCCCAGGGCAGAGCAGAAGGTCAGGGGAGGTTAGAGCTGAGGAACTGGAATTCCCTTTCCCAACCCGCCACTCTCACCAACACTGATTTCACAGATTGTGCTGTCTCTGAGGCCACGGACATGAGCAGGACAGACCCACTGTGTGCAAGCCCCCACACTGGGCTCGGGGTGTGAATGCATGCTCGAGATCCCTGGGGCACTCCAGCTTGCCAGGGGGTGCACCTGGGGACACCTCTGCCTTCTGACCCTAGTTGGAAAGGCTCCAGCACCCTCCTCCACGAGCACCTCAGGACTTCAGCCCACCCCGAGGTCCTCCTGAGTGATATCCATGAGGGCTCAGGGCTGGCTCATCAATACCGCTCCCTCTCCCCAACTCACACTTAAGCACCCCAGTCCTAAAACAACAGTGCTTGAGCCCAAAAGGTCATGCAGGTCCTTCAGCTTCTGGATTCAACTCCTCTCTGCTCAGGTGCTGCATGTTGGCCTTCCAACGAGGCAGGGAGACAGACATGGTCTCATTATACTAGTTCCTACCCCACCTCCAACCCACATCCACCACAAAACACCCTCCTCCTTTAGAAAAACAAGCACCCTTTGCCTATCAGCTGCAGCTAATAAACACCCAGACAAAGCAGCAGCCCATCACTTCTGCAGACTCTTGCTCCCAGTTCGGGTCCATCTGGGCCACCCTGTTGCACGAGGATGAACCTGACCTGATACTTCCCCTTGAGAAGAATCCAGCCCAACAGAGAGAGTGAGACCGGAATAATGTGACCACACACAGAAGTGCTGAACACCAGGAGTTAGTGCCGGATGAATTGGCCTGGAGGTTAGGGGAGGAAGAACTCACTTTCACCTGAGAAAATCAGGAGCTGGCTTTATGGGGAGGTGGTATCTAAGGTGCATTTAAAAATCAGAAAAATTTAAAATGTGGAATGGGGGGGACAAGTATTTCCAAGAAGAAGAAACAGGGTAAGCCAAGGTGTAGAGGTTTTCACAGCACTGGGAAGTGCTGGGCAGATCTGGGAAATGTGAGGAGCAGGCCCTGCCCCTGCCCCACCTGTGTTCACAGCAGAAATTGCTGATGGATCATAGCACCATTCCAGGGAGCCAAGCCCCATCCACTAGTCAGAGCTGGCACAGCAGATTTGCTGCTCTGTCTTCAGAACAATGAATTGTCAAATGGGGTTAGGACCAAGCATCTGCAAGGGAATTCCTGGGAGAGAAGGTGGGAAGAGCAGGCTGAGGCTGGATCATGGAGGGTCATCCAGCCCACCAGTCATTCCATGCTGGCAATTCCTTCCTCTGGACATGTCTTACCCTCTATCAATGATCTCTAAGATGGGCTGCATTGGACCAACCCACATTGAGGTATTAAGACTTAGTGTCATGAGGCTCCTGGGTTTCGACTGGTCTAGAATTTTCCTAAATGCAGTCCTGGGCCACCAGAAGTTCTTACTCAGCCAAGCTGGTGAGCATTTTGCCCCCGTGCCCCTCACCTACAGAGGACAAGCCTGGCGTCCAGAGTCATCACCTGTGTTCCCTGAAGACACACTGTATCAAGTTTTGACCCCTGTCTAACAAATTATCCCAAGACTTGATGGCTTAAAGCACCGGCCACTCTGTGATCTCCACGGGTTGACTGGGCTCAGCTAGGCAGTCCTGCTCGCTCCCTGGGGCCAAAGTCACCTGGGGCTCCACTGAGCACCAACATCTGCAATGGTTCACTCATGCCTGGGGCATTGGCAGAGATAGCTGGAAGGCAAGGCTTAGCTGGGATTCTGGGATGGCTGGGTCTCTATCTCTGTGTACTTTCAGGCCTCTCCCTTCATGTGGCCTCTCCACCAGTCTCTAGAGCAGGGTAAAGTCATGGACTTCTAACATGATGGCTCAGGGCTCCCAAAAGCAGAAGCTTCCAGGCCTTCTTAAGGCTCAGTTCTGGAACTGGCACAGCATCCCTTCTTCCACATTTTGGTAGTTAAGGTGAGTCACAGAGCAAGCCCAGACTCAAGATGGGATGAGACTACCCAAAGACATAAACACTGAGAGGCATGACTAATGGGGTCATCTCTTAAAAACTAGCCAACCACCCAAAATCACACAGTAATTCAATGGCCAAGTGAAGGTTGAAATTATAATTCTGTCCCCCCACCAGAGCTGGTGCACAGCCAAGCCTAGAATTCCACCTGGGGTACTTCCGCCACTCCCCCACTCCAACCTGCCCCAGCTTTCCTGAAGGCAGGGGCTGAAAGGCCAGGAGAGGGGATGAGAAGAGACCAGCAAGGGCTCACTGCAATGCTGATGCCCAGAAGGGCAGGTTCCTTTCTTTCTCCTTGCAGCCCTCTCTTATCTCAGTCTCTTCTTCCTCCTTTCCATGATCCCAAGTCCCTTTATGCCCCAGGTACCTCGGTAGGATGCTCTTGACCCCAAGCTCCATATAATGCCTGGCTACCCCATCCCCCCATCAGAACCAGCCTGTGCTGTGTTCTGTGCCTCAGCTCCTGCAATGACCCTGGGCAAGGAGGCTGCAGAGAGGATTCGGACACACACTTTGATGTCAGGCTGCCATGGGCTCCACTCCGCTTGCCCCCTACATGCCGTGTGAAATAACAAATATGAGATACGTGGCCAGAAACTGACACTTATGAGGGCCAAATGCATTGTGGGTGTCACTATGGTCGTCATCCCAGTTGAAAAGAATTCTATTACTGTTATTACCAAGTATAACAAAAGAAGAAAAGCATTGCCATTTTTCAGCTGTTTTTGCAGCTATCACCTCATTTTAGCTTCCTATGGTGAAGGGCCAATTTTATTGTTATTATTCCAATCTCTTGTACACCAATATTTTTGTAAAATGCAATAAAAATTAATTGTTATAGTAATGAAATGAAAAACAGGCCTGCAAATATAAGCTTCACTTTTTATTATTATTAGATTCGACAAACATAAAATTACTATGTCAAATTTTTATGAATATTACTAAAGCCTTGTTCTCACCTTCTGTACTCCCCTTGTCAGAGTGGGGATGGGGCACTGACTGTGGGCCACCTTTGGGTAGCAAAATAATAGGCAAGGAAACTGGGACCCAGTAAAACTGTGCCACTTGCATGAGTCTCGACAAACATAAAATTACTATGTCAAATTTTTATGAATATTACTAAAGCCTTGCTCTCACCTTCTGTACTCCCCTTGTCAGAGTGGGGATGGGGCACTGACTGTGGGCCACCTTTAGGTAGCAAAATAATAGGCAAGGAAACTGGGACCCAGTAAAACTGTGCCACTTGCATGAGTCTTCAGACTCTAAAGCTAACCCTGTGTCACTAGGGATCTTGGCCCAATCCTCTCTGTGTAGAGTTAGAAAAAAAAAAAAAAAAACAGAGGCCCAGAGAGGGAACTTGCCACTCCCCAAATCACACAGTAACTCAATGGCCAAGTAAAGACTGAAACCATATGTGCATCCCCCTGCCAGAGCTAATTCCCCCACCCACAGATACCTTATCTGAATTGTCCAGAGGCCTGGATGTCCAAGGACTGAGTCATGCAAGACTCTGGGGGAGATATTTGTGACAGGGGGTGGCTGCTGGCCACCCCAACATCCTCGAGCAATGCCTGGCCCTGGTGTCCTGCAATTTCCCTGCCCTCTCCTTCCCTTCCCTCTCAGGGACTGCAGCGGCTGCACTGGCTGGTTCCCATTAACCAACTGGCCCTCTTGCTGTTCCAAAAATAAATATGCCTGAGAAGGGAACACCAGCTGAATGAGAGGCCATCATTCTCCTCCTCCCACCCTCCGCCCCTCTCTCCAGCTGCACACATAGCCCTGAGGCTCAGCCAGTGGATCTAGCCCCTCAGCCTACCACCCTCCAAGAAAAAACCAACTCCCTTCCACTTCTTGGAAGGAATTAAGGAGTGAAGTCACTGTGTGGGCTTCTGATACACTGGCACAGCTGCCTAGACCTGAGCCGGGTCTTATAAATATCTCCCCAAACTAGCACACTGTGGCCAAAGCTCTCTTGATGCCCAAATCCGAGTTAGGGGGGCAGCTGCCTTCTCCTTGCATAGCCCAGCCCTCTGATAGCTGTCTTCTGAGTCACACAAAACAGAGCAGGTGCCCCATGCACAACACCCAAAGGCAATCCCTGGAAGTAATTCAAATGTCAGCACCAATGGCTTCTGTGAAAACACAATAATTAAAAGACACAACAGAGAGATCTTTGGGGGTAGGATTATTACTGTAAGCAAGAAAATGAGGGAAAGAAAGTCTCCATTCATCTTATCAGCTCAGTCTGAAACCCACACACACACATTTATGACTAGGTAGGCTGGATAATTATTCTAGTTGTAATCTCAGGTGTCAGAACTTCTGAAGTATATTTTCATAGGAACTTCAGAGCATTTGAACAAATAATTACTGTCACTGAGCACCTACAACTTGCCAGATATTGTGCTAAGCACTGCCCAAGAGGTGGTGTGCCTCACACAAAGTGCATGCTCGATAAATGTTTGTTTGGATGGATGGATGGATGGATGGATGGATGGGTACGTAGATAGATGGATAGATGAACGTGTAGGTAGATGGATGGATGGAAGGATAGATGGATGGATAGAAGGGAGGATGGATGGGCAGGTGGACAGATGAATGGGTGGGTAGATGGATGGATAGATGAAGGAAAAATATCTCTATTCCTCGCAACAAGGTTATAAGAAATAGCAACACCATTTTTACAGATGAGGAATGAAACTCAGAGAGGTTAAGTGATCTCCCAGAGTCATTCCTCTGCTCAGCAACAGCACTGGTCTGCAAGCCCACCTTAGAGGCTGGAGCTTCTTGTTGAAGAAAGCCCTCAGTAACGACCTCCTCCACCACCCGCAGCTAACAGTTATTAATCAGGTCCTCTGTGCCAGATACCATTCTGCATATTTACATGTCTTAATTTATTTAACCCTCCAACAATCTTTATGAGACGGTAACGACCTCCTCCACCACCCGCAGCTAACAGTTATTAATCAGGTCCTCTGTGCCGGATACCATTCTGCATATTTACATGTCTTAATTTATTTAACCCTCCAACAATCTTTATGAGACAAAGCTAGGAAAGTGAGGCCTAGAAAAGCTACGTAACTTGCTCCACGTCACCCAGCCAGTGAGCAGCCATGCAGACTCAGACCTCAGCAGTGTGACTCCAGAGCCGGGGCCCTTCTCCACTCTGATACCTCCGAGAGGTCAGGCACAGATAAAAGTGTTGAAAGGAGGAATATGCTGGAACACATTTACAAAGCAAGCTGGGCTGCACAGGGGCTGGGGAAATGGCTGACCCTTGGAGCTGGCAGGTGGCTGGGGAGAGGGGGCCCTGGGCCCTGCCTGGGGGAAGGTCTCTGGCTGACAAGGGCAAGAAAACAAGTTCAGCCTCCTCTTCAAGGTTCTTCAGGCTGCTCTACCACATGCAGATCCCAGACACCTTTCCTAGCCAGGGAGGCTCGTCCTGGGGACAGTACTGCCCTCACTTTGCCACATGCCAGGAGAGCTCCCAGACCTATGTGCCTCACTCCTATCCTCACTCCCAGCCCCAACTACAGTGGCCAGAACAAACTGCTCAAAACCCAGATCTGCCCAAGTCACTCCTATGCAAAAGCCTTCAAAGGGCCCACCACAGGGAAGTCGTCCGGCCTCCCCTTCCAGCCTCGCTCCGGCCGTTCTGGGCTTGCACTGGGCCTTCCCAAAGCGCCTGCGCCTCCGTGAGGGCCCACACTTCTACCCCACAAGCTCCTCCCAGTTACAGCTCCTCCTGCCCCAAACACTCTTTTCCTGCCCGCACCTGTCCCTTCACCTGGCCACTTTCAGGTAACAGCTTAGTTAAGATGTCTCTTCCACGAGGGAGGCTTCTTTAACCCCTGGTCTGAATTAAATGATCCTCTTGTGGAACACAGACCTCTGATTCTCCCTTAACCGAGCAATTACCACTGTGGTGTAACTGCCCACCATAAACTCCACGAGTACAGGAACCTGTGCTTGTTCACCGTCTATCCACAGGCGCTCAGGACGAATATCACTCTCTAGCTCCCTTAGGATCGTAAAATAATAAAATGTGACAGCCGTGACTCTAGCCCTGCCTCTAACTTACTGTTGGCTTTAAGCAAACACCTCAACTTCCCTGGGCCTGTTTGTCCATCCACACAATGAGGGGTTTGGACAGGCCATGTGCTGTGCCTGCTGCTCTAGCACAGTGTGGCGCAGCCCGGCAGGGAGTTTCTGAGAAATGCAGTCTCAAGCCCCACCCTGGACCTGGTGGGTCAGAATCCCTGTGGGCGGCAGGGGTGGGGGGGGGTTTCAACCATCTGGGTTTAACAAGCCCTTTGGGGGTTCTGACACACCCATGCAAAAGCTCTAGAAGTGGGTGGATACTGTGAGTTGAGGATTCCCCTTCTCACCCCTGCAGGTGGATTTTGAAGACGTGATCGCGGAGCCCGTGGGCACCTACAGCTTCGACAGCGTGTGGAAGGTGAGCTACACCACCTTCACCGTCTCCAAGTACTGGTGCTACCGCCTGCTGTCCACGCTGCTGGGCGTCCCGCTGGCCCTGCTCTGGGGCTTCCTGTTCGCCTGCATCTCCTTCTGCCACATCTGGGCAGTGGTGCCATGCATTAAGAGCTACCTGATCGAGATCCAGTGCATCAGCCACATCTACTCACTCTGCATCCGCACTTTCTGCAACCCGCTCTTTGCCGCCCTGGGCCAGATCTGCAGCAGCATCAAGGTGGTGCTGCGGAAGGAAATCTGAGCCAGGTGGGGCAAGGGGTGGCGGGGCAGGGCAGTCAGGCCAGGCTGGCCCCGGTACTGCTCTACGAGGCTGCTGGCGAGCTCTTTCTCCTTAGGGACTGCTCCTTTCCCCCCATAATGAAAGCACGTGGTGTAGGGAAGCCAGAAAGAAAAGACAGCCCAGCCACAGAAGCACAATGGCCCTTCCCCCTGCCCCGGCCCGACCACCACGCCCTGTGCCGGGCGTGAGGGAGGACCGTTGCTAAGAGGCAGCTACCGCAAGTCTTTGCGCTCACTGTACTGTAACAGCAGAAACCAGCACTCAGCTTCCCCCGGGGCCGCCTGTCCACGCACGCCCAGGACAGCGACCAGTGACGACGGCGTTAGGAGGATGGCTCCAATAAAAGGTTTTGGCAGCATTCAGGGAATGCCGTGTTTTGTTTATGTTCATAGGTTGCTATGTGTGTGTGTTCTGACCAGCTCCAACAACATATTTTACTACCCCGAGACACAGAAACAGAGAAAGTTGGTTATCCCTTTCCTTGGCCAAATCCAAGAACCAGAACTGAGTTTGCTTTTTCTTGGGATTCCACTTACTCACCGGATATCTGCTCCTCCATGTTTCTTGGAAGATTTTGTCCAAATGAATTCCATTGCCACTGTGCCAGCTAATGGCCACCAATGGAGGAAAATGGCCCTTGGGCTGGCAGGGGCAGGTGACCCTCCCTGAGTACCACTGAGGGCAGGGACTGGGTTCAAACCTCTCTGAACTTCCCCATTGGCTCACCAGACACCCAGCCCCTGACACACCTGGCACTGCCCATTGGCATGTGTACGCCTTCAGCCCTCGGACATGTGATGAGGGCATATGGTCCAACTTGTGTGAGTGTGGGCTCACTGTGGAAACAGAAAGTGATAGAAACCACATATCTATCTCCTCCCCCTACAAAAAGAAACAGTTCACAAAACCCAGCAATCGCACATTCTTCAGACAACTTGTGTGAGTGTGGGCTCACTGTGGAAACAGAAAGTGATAGAAACCACATGTCTATCTCCTCCCCCTACAAAAAGAAACAGTTCACAAAACCCAGCAATCGCACATTCTTCAGGGCTGCTTTTCCCAAGTAAGGAGAGGGGAGTTTGTGTGGTCAAATTTGTTTGGAAATGCTGTATATTTCTCTCAGAGGTTTTCAATAGACATTAGCACGTTAAAGGCTCTGACAAGTCCTGCAGTAAAGAACTCTGCTTAGTCCAGTATCCCCCAATCCTATCTTAACTTTTCTCTTTTATTTATGCAATGCCCATTTAAGTCTCATAAAATTAAGGTTTCACTGCATTTTTCAAGTTTTCAGAGGTGTCCTCTCTTTGATTCCTGGCCATGAGTCCAAGGGGTCTTGGACGGGGCAGGGGGCAGTGTGGCAGAGTAGAGCACACGTGGATTGGGAGCTAGGACATAGGGGGCCTCAGTTCTAGTCCTGTCTCTGCTTCTAGTTGCCTTCTCTGGCCTCAACTTGATCATCCATAAAATGATCTCTAATGTCCATTTCAGCTCTAAAATTTGCCCGTTTTTGCTTTTTCTAACATCATATGTAATTTTCAAACACAGAGAGAAGTTGAAAGGATTCACAGTGAACAGCTATATACCCACATCTAGGTTCTACAATTAACATTTTACTGCCTCTGCTTCATCACAACTATGTCCAACTCTCCAATCTCATCTTTCTTTATGCATTTTTAAAAAATAAGTTGCAGATATCAGTACATTTGACCCCTAAACACCTCACCACTCAACTCTTGTTTTTGTAGATGAGAAAATTGCAGCCCAGAGAGGTCAACAGACTCACCAAAAGGTGCACAGCTAGCCAGTGGCCCAGGCTCCTCCTGCTGAAAAGGATTAAGACCAGTCTTGCTTATAGCCTCCTCAAAGAACCAGCCCTTCCAAATGTCTCTTGGAATCCTTAGGCCATCAGGTTCAGACTTGGAATCTTGGGTTATGCAGAGATCTTCACCATCCTGTTATTTGCTGTAACTGCATTTGACTATGACTCCAATTTCTCAAGTCCACCCTTTCTCTACGGGCAGACTGTGGCAAGTGCTCAATTACCCAAGAAGTTTGCAGAATTAGAGAAAGGACCCACATCTGAGTAGGGTGTACATCTGAGGAGTTCTGTTTTCTTCAGGAATCTCCTTAAGAAGTAACGCACAGAAAAGTGCATTGAAGGTGTAGTGAGAATGGGGTGAGGCAGGAGGGAGTCACACTCCCTCTCATGCACTATGTACGAATCATGGGCGACTCTTATTTAAAATGTAGGTTCTAGGGGCCCCAGCTCCAGAGTCCAATTCAATAGTGGGGCCCAGGAATCTGCATTTTAACACAAACCCATTTGTGATTCTGCAGGTGGTCTCCAAATCTTCCTTTAAGAAATATTTGTTACGGTCCCTTTAAAGTGAAAATCTAGAATCCTGCTATCTCCAGAGTTAGATTATGACACATAGTGGGTTTGGGGACATCAAGCAAGAGCTTCATTCCTGAATCTTAGAGCCTCTAGGGTGCTTACGGTGCATGCGCCTGTCACAATCAGGCAGAGCTCTGGAGCCCTGCAGGGGAACTGGAGTCTGCAAGCCATCAGCTATGGTCACTGTTTCTGAGCAGGAAAAAGAGGTCAAAGCAATGTATGAAAAAAAATGTTTATTAAGTGCACCTTTTATAAAGCAGCTAATGAAGCAGACATCTCATGATTGGCCACATCACTCACCAATTGGGATATACACAGGGCACCACAGAAAGTCACCACGGTAGAACAAAATCAAGGAATTCATAGTTTGCATTAAGCAGCATTTCACTGCAATTGAATGCAAAAAAGGTTAAATACTTTGAAACCAGGACTTTCATAAAATGCAGCCTGCATTGTCTCCTTATGCGTCTTGAAGGGGTAACACATAGACTCATTCCAAAAGGAGATCAAATTATGTGATAGATTTTTTTTTTCAGGGACTAAAGAAATAAGGTCAGAGTCTACACATTCATTTCTAATGATCAGAACCATGAAACATTCCAGAAGACAACCTGAACGCTCCAGTTTATTGGC